GTGAGGTGGACCTAGTTTAGAGTTTGGCACATGCTCCAGATTTTAGCGGCTTGGTCCTGCCAGATTCCCTTCGCCTCTCATAATAACGGCTAAAAGTAATGAAAACACCTAAATGCTAAAGAAAACTCGCGGTGAGCATGCTGCTGCAGCTCACACCGAGAGGCAAGTCGCAATCTGTAAGGTAAGGCTGTATGTGTGACCGCCCAGTCGAACAGGAATATCCGGGACATCATGCGCGCGGCTGCAGCAGCTGCTCAGGTGGAAGAAGCTATCCACGTCTGTCGGCAATGGCGATAAGGGCAGGAGGTGTAGAATTATGAGGAGCTCTCATGGTGTATACGGGGAAGAGGGGGTGTAGCTCAGCAGTAGAAGCTAGTCGACACCCCTGATGATGATGACTGTGGGCTCGCTGGACGACGCTGCGGCCAACGGCAGGCAAATAAAATGGTCAGAGTCGTGGCCATGGGCCATGTGAGCTCATTTTCATGGGTTGAAGTTGAAAGAAACAACAGAACAATTAAAAAAAATTGGGCCACAAATGAGAACACCATACTGATACAGAATTGGCCCATGAGCAAGGAAAGAAACAAGCCCAACAAATAGAATTGTGCAACTCGCCCAAATCCCACGACGAATTTTAAAAGTTCTAAAAAACTGAATTTGAAAACAACTCCCAACATATTAAAAAGAATAAGAACATAAGAGAAATTCATATTATTGGTTGTTAGAAATTTCACATAACAATTCGTCTCCGCACCAATCATGAGGCAGGACCAAGCCTGTAGGTTGTTTTGTCAAATAGATGAACGTGTCAACTAGTGCGCTTCTAGTACTACTAGTAAATTGAATGTGCAAAGCACGTCATTTATATATATAAAAGCATGAAAGCAATACATTTCAATACTTATTTCCTTTCCTAGAATCATATTGGACACGATCCAACTTGGTTCTTACTCCTCTTAGAATGTTCTCCATCTCTTTTTTTATTAGAGAATCAGATAAGCATGTGAAAAGATGCTTCTAGAATACATGAGATGATGAGTTAGGGCATCTCTAGCCGTTGGCCCCCCGGGGGCGCACCGGCGCTAAACCGTGTACTGGGGGCGTGATGCCCCCCAGTCGCGGCTCCCCACGGGTTTTTTAAAATGTTTAAATTCGACGCAAACACAACGCAAACACGTTCGAGTTCGTTCAAATTTAAACATATTTTACAAAAAAAGAAAAACTACCACGGGCTACCCCCGCCGTCTCCCTCGCCGCCCGCCTCGCCACCTGCCCACGTGGTTCTACATGCCGAGGAGGCTGTAGAACCGCGTGTAGTCACCGCCGCCGCCGTCATCGTCGTCGTCGTCGCCCCTGCCGACGCCTCCGCCGTCCCTGCTGCATCCCTCCCCCGGTTGGCGCGGCGGGTTGGACGGTCCGGGGGCGTCGTCGTCGTCGTCGCTGTCGAGGACCACGACGCCGTGCTCGTCCTCGCGCCCACGCTTGCGGGCGGCGATCTCCTCCAGGGCCCGGCGCTGCCGGACCATCTCGTCGCGGAGGTAGTCGTCCCGCGCCCATCGCAGGGCGTCCTCATCGGAGAAGCCACGCCGGGCTATCTCCTCGTACTCCGTGAGGAGGCCGGGCTCCGGCTTGGGCTCGACGAGGACGAAGCGGCCGGTGGGGGAGCCGTTGTCGCCGATGCGGACGCTGGAGCTGCTGGTGCGCGTGCTGACAGGCGTGCCCTGGGGCTCCGGCTTGACGGGGCGGAGGTGGAGGCAGGGGAGCCGCCGGACGAGGAGGAGGACCCCCCGGTCTCCATGCGCCTCGTGACGAAGCTATGTACCTAGGGTAGGGGCATGGACCTGTCCTAAGAGCCCTACCCAAGGACATCGCTGGAAGAAGTCACCTTTCAATCGACTTGAAGGTACCCACTCGACGGGTTTAAGACACTCGACCAAGAAGCTACCACTCGACAGTGAAGCCAACCACTCGACTGACAGGAGATCTAAAGTCATTCCGCAGGCAAACGGTCGGCTATTAAGTAGTCTTTATGGTCATTATAGCACTTCATTACCAGCGTTACCAGTAACGCCCCGCATTAATGTACATTGAACCCTTGGTAACGTGGGCTGGCCGGGGTCCTGGCGAACTCTATATAAGCCACCCCCACCTCAGTATCGAGGGTTCGCACCCCTGTTATTCACACGCCTATAATCCAATCGACCGCCTCCGGGCACCGAGACGTAGGGCTGTTACTTCCTCCGCGAAGGGCATGAACTGGTACATCTTGGTGTGTTTACAACTTTCCAATAGCTGAGATCTAGCCTCTCCTTACACACACCCCTACATCACTGTCAGAGTTAGAACCACGACACCTCGGGGGCCAGGAGCTTCCCCGGCGGTGTGGGAAGGACGGGGGAGTGGGGTACTCGGGGCGCGGCGTGTTGCCGCCCTCGATGTACTCGAGGACGGCCTCCAACGTGCGCCCGGGCACGCCCAACCACCGACGCCGGCCGACGGCGTTGAGCCTGCCGGAGGGCTCGACGCCATTGGTGGCCTCGAGCTGCTCGGCGTGACGGCGGCGGAAATAAGGCTCCCAGAGCGGGCTGTCGGGGACGTACCGTGGCCCCTCCCTCGCCGCACGCGGCAGGGACGAACGGATGCGTGCGATCTCCGCACGCCGCGCCGCGCCGGTGGGTACCGGGGGCACCGGCACGCCGGCGGTGCTGATCCTCCACGCCCCGGGCACCCGCATGTCCAGCGGGACCGGGTACTCGACATCGAAAAGGAGGCGAGCCTCGTTCTAGTGAAGATGGCGGCGGCCGAAGCCGTTCGCCGCCGCGCCGTCGCCTGGGAAGCGCTCGGCCATGGGTATGATGAATTGGAGACGGCGAGAGAGAGGAGAGGGAGAAACGACGACGGCGAGAGAGTGCGAGTCGCCGAGTGCGCGGGGGCGCGTCTTATATAGGCCGAGGCGCCACCCTGCGCGAGCCACCGTGAGTACGCGTGGCGGGCGAGGGAGGGCGAGGGACGCGCGTCATCCGGTCTTCACTGCGCCGCCCGTGAGGCATCAATGTCGCAGGCTGACCGGCGCGGCAGCTTTGGCATTGATTCGCCGCGGGAAACGAGGTGATGAGGACGACGAAGGGGCGAGAAGAGAGCCGTGTCCCTGACACGGCGGGCCCGCGGCTGTTTCGCGCCAAAACAGTTCGCCCCGGCACCCCCGGGCGCCCCCCAGCGCGCCGGGTTCGGTCTGGGTCCGTCGGCGCTGTTTTCGGCCCAAACCGGCAAAAATCGGGCTCCTGGAGGCGCGACTGGGCCGATTTTTCGGCGCCGACACAAACAAAACGCCTGGGGAGGCCTTCCTGGGGGGCATGGCTGGAGATGCCCTTAAGGGTTCAGTTAGAAGGCAAGGTGGCAGAATCCTATTTGTAGAAAACTTTATTCAACAGATTATAATGCTTCAGTTTGCCATCTTTCGATCATTGGATGGAGCATATCCAACAACTAATATTTGAAGTTATTGACACACTATATAGCAGTACAGACACTACTAGTTCGAACACGACACCACAAATTTTACCCACTATAGACTCATACAAATGAATTATTTTCTTAAAAAGGGCATAGAAGGAGCTAGAAACTGCATTGCATTACCTGTAGTATAGAGATACAAGGCGGTTTACATCATGGCGGGGGCATTTTTTACCATCCAATGAATAATTGATTGCTTTTAGGCATGGTTTCTCTTAAATCTTGGCATGTGGTATCATGTAGCTTCTTTTGCTTTTGTTAGTATTATGTAAAATAATACTAATACATATGGTTGGGTGCTTTGCGCTTAAAGTGCTTCCTTCTCAAGGATATTGTTACGTCTCATCGTTTCCTGCCTACATCACTAGGTTCCTGCCTCTGGGGGTCTATCATCCGCAAGACGTGGGTCATGTAGCACAAGCACATTGGACTTCTCCGGCTTGAAGGATTGCCGTGTGGTCTTCTACTCTCACATGCATGGCACCTGTTTGATTGGAGTGGCGGCACATTTCGGAAGTAAGGACGGGACAATACAATCTTGGGTTTTCAATTTTTTGGGGTGTATAGTAAGGAATTTTCTTCTTTTTAATCTTGGCTGACTAATACAATTACTTAATAATATAGGTATTTTACTATATTGCGCCATGTGGCTTCTTTTGCTTTTGTTTTAATAATGTAAGAATAATACTAGTACAGATGGTTGGGTGCTTTACGCATAAAATGCTTTCATCTCAGATATAGTTTTTGTCTCATTGTCTCCTGCCCACATCACTGGTTCTAGCCTCTAGGGGTATCTATCATCCGCAAGACTGGACATGCTTCCTGTGATCTCGATCACAAAACATGGGTCCTGTAACACACACATCGGACTTCTCCCGCTCAAAGGAGATCATGTGGTCTTCTCCTCTGGCATGGAACAATTTTCATTGAAGATGCAACACATTTTTGAAGAAATGACGGATAAGTTTTTTTCAGGGTTATGCGGGGTATGCCCAAGGCACGTGTCCAGACCATGGTTAATGTAGGTTTTGAATCTCTTAAAAATATTGGCTGATTAATACAAAAAATTAATAGTGTAGATATTTTAGTGTTTGTGGATGCACTGCCTGCCTTTTTTTTGCTTTTATTTTAATTATGTAATAATAATTACTAATACAGATATTTGGGTGCATGCTTTACGTGTTTGACTGTAACGGCTGTGCATGCTAGCTTGTATTCATGGTGCTGCTGTAAGGTTTTGTCTCTTCATGCTGGTACTGCTGTAAAGTTTTGTCTCTTCGTGCTGGCAGTGGCAGGTACCAGTGCAGATGAGTGGTAGAGCGTACACGTGTCTGCTTGATTGGACACCCTCGTCTCTCACCACGCTCTGAACTCTGTACTTCTCTAGGCGAGAGCTTGCTTAGAACTCTCACAACGCTCCTCACTCTCTAGGCCACAGCACGCTCCGCGCTGACGAGCACGAGTTTGACGCGCACGTGGCGGCAATGGCGAACGGCGACCAGGACATGGCCACCGACGAATTGATGGAGACGGAGGGGTTGAAGGTCCTTGCCGTGGACGACGACCCCATCTACCTCCATTCCTTGACGCAGATGCTTCGGCGCTGCGGCTACGAAGGTACGTCATCGTCCGGTCCATCCATCTTGCATCTCTTGGCCACAGTTTGGTCTTCGTTTCCTGACCGACGGCCACCACGATCCGTGCAGTGACGGACAAGCCGTCACCAGCAGATGCGGTGAGGGAGGTGGAGAAGAACCCGAACAGGACCGACTTCATCATGACGGTCGTGCAGACCCGGGGGCGAGGGATGGACGGCTTGGGCCTCCTCAAGCGTCTCGGGAAATGTTACCCAGTCGTACTCAGTGAGCCCTCGAACATGTCACACATATCTCCATGTTCTACCTTGTTTGTAGGTATAGATCTGATAGATGTGCCGGCACACTTTTGTGCAGTGTTCTCGGGCGAAGAGAGCATGGAGACGAGAATAAGGGGAAATCAGGGGGGCGCTTGCTACTTGCTGGAGAAGCCCCTACGCGACACGCAGATATACATCCTCTGGCAGCACGTTGTGCGATGGAGGCTCAATGCCGCCGCCGCAGCCACGGCAAACACTAACCCTCACCACAGTCTGGGCATTCATCTGGATGACTCGCAGAGGAAGAGAGGGCAAGGAGTGAACGATTCCAACAAGGGCAAGGGGGCCTCCGAGGGCGGACTGCAGCTAGGGACCACAAAGAAGAAAAAGCTCGAGTGGACTGCAGAGATGCACGAATTGTTCGTCAATGCGGTCACCCAGCTAAAGACAACAGGAGGTGCGTGAGATACATACGAAATGCATGCATGGTCAAATACATGATACCTATCTGTGGACCTTTTTTATTTCTCCATGCTTAGCTGTTTTGTTATTAATAAATGGAGCATGCTACATAGTCTATTTTTAATGAGTGCTCACTGTATGTTTTAGTAGTACTATAAGCTGCATATGCAAGCATCTGCACCTTTGTTTTAATGTAATACTAGATAGACATGCGTGTCAACTCTTTTCTACGATCTGTTAACTCTATTGAGTGGTCTCTCTCGGGGTAGGGACCGGTGATAATCACCAGTAGCTCGTTATTGAGAGTGCTCTCTTTTGAGCAAGCTGTATATAAAAAAGACAGCTTCTATGTATGTGATGCACAGGGCCGGGCTGGCAAATTCCAGAGCCCTATGCGAAACTAAGGGGCCCTATGCGAAACCAAAAAAGGGGCCCTATCTTATTAGAAAAAACAAACTAAGGAGCAACTAGAGTGCATATATATATCTCGCTAGCAGCAGACTATCTGTTTTGAAGTTGTAAAGCACCCGAAGGATGAAAACATGAAGCACCTGGAGTCGGTCGCTGGTCGATCCGACGAGGTGATGATTCTGGAAGCTGCATGCAGGAAGTCAACAGCGCAGCGGCCTGAATTTCTTGCCGATCCATCCGACGAGACGAAGGCGGCGATCCCATTTCCTGTACGCAGGCTATAACGACGCCATCGTGACTGCTTTTGCGGTTTTGCCTTTTGGCTTTTGCAATCGATCGAGTCCACGATCCCGTTTCTTTTTTTAGGGACCCACATCCCCTTTCCGTCTTTCCAATCGTGAATGATCGAGCAGCAGCCTGGATCCATGCCTCGACTCACGCGGAGCGCTAGCGGTCAGCGCCATGCTAGTGGCTAGTGCTCTGAAACAATTTTTTCTTTTGAGAAATACTAGGCATGTATAATAATTTTGGGGGCCCAAAAATTATGGGCCCTATGCGGGCCGCATAGTCCGCATACCTATGGGCCAGGCCCTGGTGATCCATATGAGTAGTATGGGATTGTAGGCTTGGATATATTCAAGCTTGGTTGGATGACCATAATTATTTCATTAGTAGTCCCAGCATGGTAACTCATACTGAATCGATGAGATATGTTTCATTGGAGGAGATGATGGCTCTGTTAGGTAGTTCTCTCGACTTGGGTTGTAACACATCGTCGTCCCTTTCCTG